GAAAAAATAAATTTTTATTGCAAATGCAAAGGCAACAAACTGACATTACTTTCGTTGTAGGATGGTGGTTTACTGGTATAATATCACCGTGTCTGTCTAGGAAGTTGATTAGGTTCTAAGAGAAAGCAGTAACAATCCCAGACTGAAATTAAAAAAAAAATTATAAAATGTGGTAGGTGAAAATAGGAGACCAATGAGAATGACTGTGGTTATATTTTATCAGGAAAATTCACACCAGAATATTGGGTCATCAGTGTAATGTCAGAAGTAGATTTATGCTTCTCTAGCAAAAGCACTGTATGGAAAAGAACTGTTTGGAGTTTGCTGCCATTTATTCTGTCATCAGTATGAAGAGCCAGAGTTTCAGTGGCACTGAACATGCACTGGATTTTGATGTCAAGTGATCCTTTTTTTCTTTTTTGGGGGGGTGGGTGGTGTCAGAAGTATGAAACAGATTATAAGTAATTCGCTTTTATATGTGAGAGTCTGGCATCTTACAACACTATGTATAACAATTAGTTTGCTTTTGCATACATCTGTAACTGAACTTGCACTGTTGCATCAGCAGAACATGACGAAGAAGGGTAGCTGGGCTTATTCTCTAACAGTATATTGCAGTTCCCACCTAACCGCTTTTTCCATTACATGGTACAGAGAGAAATAACATGTCTTATTAAGGACAGCAGCACTCAAGAGTCAATGACTGAGGGAAATTGCAGCCATTTTGATTTGTCCTGTAAAATTACGTTCTTTAACATTAAATCATAACATTATTTAAAGAATCAAAGTCGTAACTAGTTTTTAGCTTCATTTATTTTCGAGAGGCTCTTAGAATCAATAGTTTCTTAGTTCTTTGAAGGATAGCTCCATAGCTTCTCTATGTCCTGCATGGAGCTTCTATATATTCTGCATGTACAAATTAAGTGGGTATTTTCAGGGTATATGAAGTTGTCTTTAATTTTATGAAAAGACAGGATTTGACCCATAATCACTTCAAAGTTCTGGGCAGATATTGCTCATAAATGTTCTCATCTGGGATTTCAAATCTTCCAAAGTAAAAAGTACCCCCAAAGAAGTCTTCACTTCCACATGTTGAGCATGCGTATGATCAGATACACTATGTGAAGTATATCTAAAATGAAAATGTGTAAATAAAGTAGATCACACTTATTTCAAGTCCCACATTTTTTGAAAGTATTTTGTGATGTACAAGGGAAAGCTGAAAAGGTCTAAGTGGTAGACTTAACTATTGTTAACCTTAAGGTGTGCTTTTTAATTGTACGTCTTAACTATGTGTGATTGCATTTAACCTTTTTTCCCCAGACAGAATTTCGCAGGGCAAATATTCTATGCATTGTCCCATCAGCGTGTCTTGGCAGTGCTTCAGCTGAGACAACCTGTGCAACTGAAAGGTTAGTTTAGCCTTGTATCTGTTTAATTTAGTTTAATTCATGCATGGTAATACCTCTGTCCACTCTAAAGTGAACTAAAAATACCATTTTCTCAAAAGTCACAAAACAGTCATTGGGTGATAATGTTATTTGGTCATTCAACTCATGCAGCTACAATATCCCACAATAATACTTAATACATCTGCTGTGAGAAATCTTCTTTTGGACTATTACTGCAGAGTATGGTTCATTGTTGAGTAGATTCAAAACAAGAAATTAAAAAGCTCATCAGCCCAGCTATCCCTCTTTAATTTTATTTATACAGTGTACTCTAATGGTTCTTTCAGAGCTACTGTGACCTATCTAGGAATCCAGTCCAACAAATCTTTAATCCTGTCCTTACCTAAGTAGTCCCACAGCTCTTACTCAATAACTAGTTTTTGGGGGAAGTTTGGGGGGCATTAAGCAGTTCATCAGCAGTAGTAAAATGTGTTCTAATAAATACGTATTAGTACTACTGAAAAGCATTTCTGAAACAATTGGTCTGTATGGAGGATTTTAAAATCTGCTTTCTTTTCACTTCCTAAAGAGAATTATATTTAGTAAAGGCTAAGTTACGTGTTACAATATAATTCTTTCTGTATAACAACTATGTCTAAATTATATGTTCATAGAACAATTATAAATGACAAATTTTTAATTTTCTAATTACTTGTGTAATTATACTGCAGTTTAAGGTTGTCTATTTCAGAGCCACTCAGAATTTTCTGGGAGGTGAAGGTGGCGGTACCACAGAGGCCTCTGTGGACAGTTTTCTGGACAGTGCTGTGCTGTTACCATCTAAGGCACCTTCATAGACTGGGTTGGTTTGCTGCCTGTCCATGTACGGGGTATGACACCATCTTCCTGGGGTCACGGCCCAGAGGCTGAGTGAAAGCACCAGAAAAATTAGAAGAACAATGAAATAAGTGGGTGGTATAAATTAGGAATCACCTTTTCTGCCTTATTGAGTCTCCTTTATGCTAGAATTGTACCAGTGCTCTAGACTTATCAAAACTTTCCAGCTGTCTCTTAAATTGTCATGGGACTTTAAAAAAAATTTAGTGCTCCTAAAAAAAAAGTGGCTAACTGTCTTGAAGAAGACAGATTATTAGGGCCTATTGCAGAAGCACCCTTGCAAATTTCTGCTTCGGTCATAATCCTGCTAAACTTGTAGGGCCAAAACCAGAAATGATACAGGCTACAGTAACAAACACTGATCATAACATCTGTAGGTTGAGTTTGGCTAATAACATTTCCTCTGAAACTAGGCCACTGACTGGCAAATGTCTGCTGGTCTTGCTGTGTATGTGCTGAAAAGGACATAATTTTCATTTCTTACCTCACACAGACCTTGCACATACACTGTTGAAGCATTTAGAGAACATAGTGATTTGACTCTGCTGTGTAAATTAAGAGTACTTTGAATAGTGTTTTACAACAGCAAAACTGATAAGAATCCCAAATGAAAGTAGAATTTACTCCATAAACCATCTGTTTTCATTGGTCTTTAGATGAATATAAAGTAAAAAAAGCATGGAGAATAAGTATTGGGCCAAAGATACTAAACTCATAGGCTTAAGCTGAGTTATAATTCCTTATTTAAATATCTAAATAAGTGGCCTAATCAGCAAATATGTTGAATATCAGCTTATACTAGCAACTTTCTTTACTGAGTTTTCTGCACACTTCAGTGATAAAATTAGTAATTTGGGTACATAAAATATGGTTTTAGGAACTTCTGAAAATACTTGACCCTTACAACACTGTTTTTGTGAAGAGGTCTTTTCAAATAAAAACTAAGGAATCTTTGTATATCCTGACATGTTCTTAAAACACTTCAAATTCCTTTTCTAAACAAGTTACTGTTTTTTTCACAGAGCTTTCCACAAGAGTAGAGTTATACAACCTAGTGGTTTGATGAAAAGTAACTGACTGCAAAATAATTTCTTTAATTCAGATGATAACTTTTTTCATTCATTCAAGTCAATCTCCAGTTATGTGTAGGTTCTATTGCTGAAAGGTTACTACTATGTGTTCACTATAGTAGTCAAATTCTAAAAATGACATTCTTAATGACATATTCTTTTCTCTGAAATATTAATTACTTGTGACCCAAGAACTGGTTGAATGCCTGTGAAAATTATGGTACTTCCTAACAAAGTAACTTTTGCATCCATGTAACCATTTTTATTCTTTTTAACACTGTTTCATCATACATCACTTTTACTTGATTTCAGTTAGACATAAGAATTGGCAGGATTCTGAAGGTAATTAATCTGTCTGTTTTCCAGGTTACCTAAAAGCAATATTATTTAGATTCTGTTTACTTTACTTCCAGAAGCTGCAATGAAACCTTCGTCTTGCAGCTAGTAATTTTTTTCATAGTCTACTAGCATCCCATAAACTTTAGTTTTCTCACGTCTTTAGTTTGTGGGGTTTGATAATTTCTGTTTTAAAAACGTTTCACACATACTTAGCCTGTGCTTTCCCTTAACTTTAGCCTCACAGATGATGAAGTTTTCTTTTTCAATGCAGTATAATATCATCAAACATATCTTACATGGCCCTCTCAACATTTTACAGCTAATTCTGTGTCGGTAATTGGCAAATGTCCATTCTTTCTATTTTGAAATAACCTTATAGTGTCAAAGATTTGTGATACACGTATTTTCTTTCTAAACAAAGAAGACACTTGGTTTCAATGAAATTGTATTTCACCTTAGTTTTCTAAAGTATCTGAAAATGTGAATTTTCTAAAAACTGCGAACAGCATAGATTCACTGCAGGTATTGCTCAGTTTTGAGAATAATGGTATTTGTAGCATTTGTTTTTCCCACTTTCACACTGTCTTGGTTTTGGCTGGGATAGAGTTAATTTTCTTTCTAGTAGCTGGTACAGTGTTATGTCTTGGATTCAGTGTGAGAAGAATGTTGATAACACACTGATGTTTTCAGTTGTTGCCAAGTAGTGTTTATACTAAGTCAAGGATTTGTCAGCTTCTCATGCCCAGCATGATACAGGAAGGCTGGAGGGGCACAAGAAGTTGGAAGGGGACACAGCCAGGGCGCCTGACCCAAACTGGCCAAAGAGGTATTCCATATCATGTGACGCCATGCCTAGTACATAAACTGGGGGGAGTTGGCTTGGCGGGGAGAGATTGCTGCTCAGGAACTAACTGGGCATTGGTCAGTGAGTGGTGAGCAATTCCATTGTGCATCACTTGTTTTCTATATTCCAATTCTTTTACTATTATTATTGTCATTTTATTATGCTTCCTTTCTGTCCTATTAAACTGTCTTTATCTCAACCCACTAGTTTTACTTTTTTTTCCACTGTTTTCTCCCCCATCCCACTGGGTGGGGGGGAAGTGAGTGAGCGGCTGCATGATGCTTAGTTGCCAGCTGGGGTTAAAGTACAACACTCACACATGTTAATTGCTGGTATTGTAGACTGACATCTTTACTCCTGTTTATACCAAAATCATCTGTCCAAATCAAAAGCTGAAGAGCCAAGAAGCTGTTTCTATCATGACAGTTCACTTGACCAAAGCAGTTTTGTGTAAATTTTTTAGTACATGATATCTTCTGCTGTAACATTTGCTTCTTCTGTTTTAGTCTTAATTTTAGGGAAATGAATCCCACTAATGGCTATTAGCAGCAAATTTACTGCATGTGCTGTGGCACTTGCCACACAGAGCCAAAAACAGTCTTCAAACTGTTCTTCTAAGATGACGAATTGAAAGACGTTTTCCCGAAAATTGGCAATTCTTTCTGTGAGGTGATGAAGTTTCACAGCAGCCATAAAGCTGGTGACTGCAAGTACTATAAATCCACCTGCAACAAAATGGAAGAAGTATTCACTGTTGTTGTCAAAACAAGACACACATTTTGGCTGTGCTTCAGAAGGCTTATTGAATACAACAGTGAGCACTATACAGAGTAGGGATAGACTTAGGCATGGCTTAAACACCTTCAAAATGCTCATTCTTTATTGTATGGCCAGACATCATACCAGTGTTTGTAATAAAGCCTTTTTATCAGTGATACAGAGGCTAAAGACTGGCATTCATAGCTTCTGTAAAAAGCTGACTAGACACAATAAGCCGAGATGCCACCTGACAGTTCTGTTTTTATAGATGAGAATTCACTGCTAACTTCATTTTTATTCACAAGTATTTTAAGTTGAGGAGATATTTAGTAAGGCAAGAGAAGGAACTTTTAACATTTTGTATGAATGTGACTGGTGAAAAATACTGGTAAATTATTTTACCTGCAAGGACGTTCCAAAGGCATACTCCTGCTGGACCTTTAATTGCCCGGTAAGGAACTTTTATTGCGTTAAGAATGCAGAATCCAAAACTGACCAGAGAAAAGAAAATGGCCACACAGAGGAACATTATAATCATCACGTGCAGGCCTGTATTCAGCTTTTTCACCATGTGTGGGAAAACTGTCAAGAAAAAAACCAAACATCTATTCAGTGTGTATTTTTTCTTGACAAAAGTAAACATCACACTGTACTGGTGCTACAAACTTAAATTATACTTAAACAAGAGGTGATCGATACAGATTATTACACGCATCTTAGTTCATGACGCTTTATCTGTCACTACATCAGACAAATCAGGGATATTCTACTACAGGAATAATCCTTTACACAGGGTCTGTGAGTAAGGATTCAGGCTTAAGTCCTGTTTTATTTATCTAGTTGTGTTAATGTCTTTATCTCTGCTGCTGTATCATCTACTGCATTCTTTTCTGTCTCTTTTTCATCTCTGCTCTTCATCCCAAACTCCTTTTTTTGAGCTTTCCATTCCTGTCCCATGCTTTTAATCTCATCCCTTTAAAGTCTGATAGTCCCAGTTTCCTTATCCAGCCCCTTGCTGCCTATAGTAGTATGACTGCTTTCTGTGTTTATTTTCTCATGTTATTCTTCTTTCTCTCTCTTCCTCTCTCTAATACTGGCTCCAGTGAGATCTACTCTGATTTCATACTTCCTAATCCCCCAGGTTTCCACTTTCAGATTCCCTTCTTGGTTTCTCATCTAGTGTTTATGGCACCTTTACGCTCTTCTGGGTATCTGGCAGCATTTTAGTTACATTTGTAGGAAGCTTGTGAAGTATTGCCGTGGGGTGGGCTTTAGGTGGAGCGCTCCCGTGTTCTGCTATAGGCATGACCTCTTCCTCAGCAGCCTGTCCCTCACCTGTCTCTAAAGAACGGTTACTTGTTTTTGTCTTCACAGGTGGAGTTACTTTGCTGGAGGGCCAGACTGGCCAGCAGCAGGGAAGTGTGGAGCACCTGAGTATTCAGTTTATCCTGCAGCCCTTTAGTAACAGAATCGGAAGAAATGTGAGTAGGGAATATAGGTGACATGCTGACTGGCAGGAAAGAGAGAAGCTGATCGAGAGAAACCTTAAAATACAAGCTGATTAAGAAAAAACCTTCAGGTAGTGTAGCACTGCATGCTCATACATGTTTTGAAGACCTAACTGCCTAATTACTAAAAAGAAGGTACATTATATTATAAACAAATAAATAGATTGCTTCCTATGCTGCGTAACTGAAAAAAAATCCAAACAGGCCGCATAGAAAGTAGGCAGCAATAATTAGTAGATGTCACAGTGAACATCAGGTGTACAATTTGGTCATCATGAAATGACAGAATTCTAGTAGATTATGTGGAAAATGTCATAATGTACAAATTCCATACAAAAATTCATTATTCGACAGTTCTGCTTTTTTCAGTAGCTCATTCTGGGGTTGTAGTTAGGCCTGCTGTATACGGGAGCTACAGAAGAGACTCTGACAAGAAGAAGAAAGGAATGCAGTAAATGAGAATCAGAAGTATGTATGAGAAATGGGAAGCCAGAAACTAGCTTGCTTTCTTACTGGAAAATAACGGGCAGTGTAACAACAACACAAATGGAATTTACCCTTCTTGCAAACCAGCATAGTTTTTAGGGTTATTGTAAGGATTCTTTTGCCTCTTTTCTGAGGCTCTCAGCCAAGTCCCAAAGACATGACCAGTGAGCCTGGCTTAGTAGGCAGAAATAAGAATCCTCAGGAAGGATATTGCCATGGAGGCTCCTGACACATTCCAGCTGTGTTTGCTATACACCGGCAAAATGCCTGGCTTTCCTAGCTCGTTCTCAGGGCTTGATTCAGTTGTCAAAACATAAGCATCTTATACCAATTTAGATGTTTTAGGGCTACCACAACAGCCATGTGGGTCTACCATACATGCCGCACTATGTATGGGACACCTTCAGAAGCAGCAGCTGGGAGGCCAGGTGATACACCCTGGGGAGTCTAAGACAGCACTGGACACCTATTATAGCAATTGAATCATGCTGTCACTGTCCCAGTTAAAAGAGAATGTGCCAGCTGTAAGCCTACTCTAGTGAATGTTAACAGAGTGAAAGGTGATGTAGTAATAACCATATATTATTGTGAAGTGGAATTCCAAAGTTTTGGAGCTACTGCAGTACTGCAGCATATGAGGTGCTGCCTGTGAAGTCCATTTATGCTAACACATTCCCCAAGAAAAGTCTCCCATATCTTGCTCTGCAGCAAGTTCAGAATGCTTGGAGATTAAGGGGGACATTCAAAGCAAAAAAAGTCAGATCAGACCTAGAATGCCCAGAAGTCCTGCTGACCATTCTGCAAAAGCATTTAACAGCTTTGTATACTACCGTGATACCATTTTGAAACCAGTATTGTGAAAGTAGCAAACCCGATAGAGCTATTAGAATACTTCAAAGGGAAAATCTCTGGGACACTTGTTACCTAAAGGCATGGTTGTGCCCACTGCACTTAATGACCCAATTTTACAGTTCCAACAGGGAGAATTCTTACTAGCTTCAGCGAGAGCTTTCTTTGTCTAAGGAGTATAGGATCATGTCCTCCAAATACTTACCGATGCAGTCCAGAGTGATGGTGGAACATTTGGCCTTCCTCTCAGGTTACACAGTAATTCATCAGAAAGTTTATTAAAGAGTCCAGAAAGTTGTACAGAGATTTAAAGGAGATTGGCTACTTTTTTCCTCATTCTCTCTGACAGGATAGGGTGAAAGAACTGGGACTGTATTTCTGAATGCCCTGAAGAGGAGCAGAGCAGAGGTGGAAGAGCTTTGACCTGATGGCCCGTCTGCCAGCCATTCAAACTCACTAGACAAAGCATTTGAGCATGACTGCTATGTCCATGTCATGAAGCTGCATCTGCAGTCAGAGCTTGAGCAAGACTTGGTTATTGTAAAAGCTATCAGTCCAAATTCATCGCATCTTAACAACTGGTCATGCTGATCTAAGTTGAGGTGGCTCGGGTTCTCTTCTCCATTCCCTGTGAAGTCCCACAGTCCTGCCTTCCTTTGAGTTTTTATAGTGGTGCTCGTGCAGTTGTGTAGTCAGCCATGATCCTATGCGAAACTAATTTTTTTTATTTTTTGGTAGGTTAATTTTTTGGCGAGCTTAACTTAACTTCCTGAACTATCTCACCACAGCAACTACCAGAGCCATTGCAAAGGATGGGGCAGGACAGCATTCCTGTGGGCCAGGGACAGAGTAAGACGGCAGCAGCTTCGACTCGCATTGGTTTAAGTTGCAGTGGATCTGCACACTGAACTAAAAATCTTCAATGCAAAGTATCATTTTCACTACAGCACAGGATGTGTGAAAACTGGAAATCATCCAAAGTACAGTCCAACATCAGAGTGCTTTTGAGACCTCAAGAAAATCTTTTACATTGAAAGGAATACATTTGTAAGAGTTTCTACATTTTTAAGAGTTCAGCAATTTTTTCTCTCCAAAGTTACCAGAAAAGAAGGTAAAAATTTCTCCAACATGTTAATAAAGTTAGAAGTATCTGCTATGGCAGACATCTGCATTAGGACAGCTAGAGAAATACAGAAATGTGGACAGCTACAGAAATCTCTACTTCTTAAAGGAAAAAAGAAAGGAGGGGTTCAACAGAGAAGGCAAGGACAGAGAGGCACAGAGAGACTGCAGAGCAACATGTGGCTTAGGAAAAAGCCAGTCAAGGGGAAAGTAAGATTTACAGGGTCATCTCCAAATGACTTTCACTCCCTTCACAAGACTAAAAGAAAACCCTCAATCTAGCCCTAGGGATTTTTTTTTCCCATCTTGACTCCAGGATGACTGGAAGAAAAAAGCTAGCCTGAAACGATAAAGACTTACATTCACACTCAGATCCCAAACCATAAAGGCCACAAATATAAATTTAATAATAATAATTTGTATTCTGTAAGTTCTGTAAGCGAGAATAGAGTGCTTTTAAAGTTGAAGCAGACATTAGGCTAAAGATTCAATGAAAATTGTACTTACTTGTGAATTTGGAACGCCGCCCGCCCAACCCACACTGGCGTATTTTGCCACCCCGAAAGAGTCCGTAGTAAATTTCCCCGATGAACTTGACCAGCTCCGGATCTGTGGCATTGACCAGATCAGCTCCTGTTTTGCAAAGGATCTTTCCAGTCATCCACTTTGGAGTCCCCATTGCAACAACAATCAAGATAGAAGACACAAAACTTATTAGGGAAGCTAAGGCAAATAAAGTCTTTTTAAAACAGCCAGGCATCCTAGTGGTTTCAAGGAATCAGCTCCAAGGCCTCTCTGCAGCAATCAGGCACGCTTCCCATTTTTTCTCATGCCCTGAAATCCACAAATGAATAGCAGGCATTTCAAAACGCATCTCATTGTATTTTGAAGCTCCAGAAATCAATCTGTACGGTTAAAAATCAAGTCCAAACCCGCATTTTGCTGCGACAACATCCTGAAGCGGTTGCAAGTAACAGCCTCATTACGCTGTGGTGCGGTGATGCCTGTTTCTGCAGAAGGCAATCCTATACCTATCGCCTGGCTTACGTTTCATCGGAGGTTTAATTGTCCTCCAATGACATGAAGTTCTTTACCGTGGCCTCATGGGAAGAAAACGAGGAGCAGAGTCCATTTTTTTCAGATTATTAAGAGGGCGGGTAGACAGCCGCGTGCGAGGGACGAGGCATGAAACCCGCGCAGTTTGTCAGCAGGGTGCTGCTGGCCTCTCGGCCGCCCTGAGCCGCCTTCCTACTCCCACCCCACCCTGCCTCCAAGCGGTCGGAGCTGCCAGCACCGTCCGTTGGGCTGGGAGCGGTGCCCTTCCGTCCCTGAGCCCGCTGACCGAGGCACCGAAGGGATGTTTGACGACGCCGAGGCCTCACGTACGCATCTTCCGCGTTCAAACGGGACGCACGCAGCTCCTCGCCGCCCGGCAGGCCCGGCCGTGGGTGCCGTGCCGGCGGCGGAGCGCAGGTGCTCGGGGACTGAAGCGAGCGGCGTAATTCAAGCTCCGGGGGCGATCCCGGACTACGAAAGCAAACCGGCCCTCGCTTCTACGGTTACTGCCACTCAAGACCTGCAGGGATCCGTACAACCCCTGACTAATGAATGAACCCTGGCAGCGTCCCCCGGGAGGCAGGTAACACGGCCCGCCGCTGGAGCTCAGGCCGGCT